CTTTTCGCTCTCCCTGTGACAGGTTGTCTTTCGGCCCGTTAAATTTGATATTAGCAATCTCAAATTTGACTTCTTCTGGGAAGGTCTCAAGAGCAACTGAGGGCTGGTCTGGTGGGTCCCAGTCTGACTTAACGTGGAAAAGATGAGGTTCTTTTATATCTTTACCGTGAAATATGTATTTAAGGCGCATTCTTCTGGCAAATTGACTGAAGTCATTGAGTAGCTGGCGCCTGGTTTTCTCTTGTCACGGGAGTGGGAATGAATTTTAAACCACGGGATAGTAAGGTAATTTGCTCGTCTGTCAGCTGTGAATTTGACAGGTTTTTGATATGCTGGCTGCGTGACTTTTAAGTAAAACAACATTTTATGTTGTTTAGAAAGCGCTTTTTCTCTTTGACTTGTCTCCGCTCGATTCTTTGGCGGCTTTTTGAGCGTTTGGGACTGTCATCGTAAAGATTTCCTGTTTTAAAGATTTCCCGTTTTAAAGATTCCCACTTTTAAAGATTCCTCGTTTTAAAGATTCCCGCTTTTAAAGATTCCCCGTTTTAAAGATTCCCGCTTTTAAAGATTCCTCGTTTTAAAGATTCCCGCTTTTAAAGATTCTCCGTTTTAAAGATTCCCGCTTTTAAAGATTCTCCGTTTTAAAGATTTCCGCTTTTAAAGACTCCCCGTTCCCCGTTCTCCGTTCCCCATTCCCATTCCCCGATTCATCACTTCCCCGTTCCTTGTTTTAAAGATAGCCGCTCCTCGTGGTTCGTTATACTTCTATTTTGACGAGCTGTAAATTTACTGTAAATGAACCGAACCGTGAAATATCAAGGGGCGTTCTCCAGAATCGTGGGGTTTGCGGGCAAGCGTTTCCTCTTCTCCCTTCCTCCCCCCCGCTTTTTTTTTTTTTTTTTTTTGGCTCCCGCTCTAACTCTCGCGCCATAACTCGATTGGAAACGCTTGCTACGCAGGCTACACTATTTAATACTAATCAAAGGCTCTTAGGAGCGAGCTTATGGATGAATTTAATTAGTGTCGAAAAGACAGTTCAATAATCAAAGTAAAACATATATATCTTTTTGAACGGTTCATTGTGTACGGACTTGCCAAAATACAGTGTGACTGGAAGTACCAGATTGCATGTGCACCTGAATCATTCAAGAAACTTGTTATCGGCGCAGCATTTCTACGATTCTACTTAACGCAAAGATCACTTTAAGCTTATTAACGTTTTTTAGTCGTGAAATAATTTGTTTTCTCATTTGACTGCCAAACACTTTCCGAACGATAGTGCACTTTCTTGTGAAATAGCTACGTTTTACGTAAGGCCGAGTTTTATTTATACCGTGGTTTTAAACAATTATTTTAATGGGCCTCGAGGGTTTCCTGTAATTGCTTTTGAATAAATGTTTTTATACCTTGTTCACAAAGAGTACGTATCGGTTAGTATATGTACCACGAGCTATTAAATACAGAATACAGGCGTTTATGGCTAAATTAAACTGCTTTTAATTAGAACGCGCTTTTGCTTAACACTAGCTGAAAATTATTTGAAATAAACGGACTAAGCTCGAAGCTGTCCGGAGGGTGCTCGACCAATATTTGGGTATAGGTGAGCCGCTGAGGGTTTGAAACCCTGTCCCTCTTAAGGACAAAAAATTCCTAACATATATACCCTGTTTAGGACAACACCGTCAATTAGGGCCCAACACAGTTTATAATTAGAACAGACTCAATCTAGCTCGCACAAATCATGCACATTGTTTGGGACAGACTTGCACGAAATTGTATACCCTGCGTAGGACAGACTCGTGCGAAATTATATACCGACAGAGAGGACGAAAACCATACCCTGTTCAGCGGCACATCCCCGTATAGGCCATATAAGGGAGTACCCCCCCCCCCGGGGAAGCTGTACGTGCTCTGACCTACAATAGGTAAAAGTAATTTAAACGCACTCGAAGTATCCGATCGCCCTTCTAGAAACTTGTTTCCACCAACGCAGCATTTCCTGTAGAAATTGCATTAATAGCACCTATCTATGAATGGAATCACCGTCGCGGCAAATAAAAGGTGACCGGCTAATTATTCAAGCAAAATAGCGTGACGCTTGTTGGTTCTAAAAAGTTTGCTTACTCATCGGACTCATGCCACTCAGTATCAAACAATTCCAAACGACTGATAGTGCACCTTTTGTAAAATAAGTAGTCTTAGATAAGGCCAAGCTTAATACTGTTCAAGAGTAGTCGTAACGGTTAGATATATAACTTCTAGCACTAGCGTTTATGGTTTTCGAGGACCGTTTTTTATTTTTTTTTGCAGCTAAGGCTCATTAGCTTATTCGCTTTTCGCTGAATGGAATCCCAAATATATCGGGATCAAATGTGCACAATTCGTCCAAAAACAGCCTCCTCCTCAGGCGCTTCGTTTTTCGCATAGCTGAGGCGAGCGCGAAACGAGTGACTGGTGATGAACCGCAAGGGACCATGGGAAGGGTACAGACGGGAGGCGA